CATTTATGAACACAGCCCCTGGGGAGTACTACTGCACATGTGGTCCTACTCCTCTAGTCCCTGTGTGCCACTTTAGCCCACATTCACACTATCTGTCCATTAAAACATGCTATGGGCAAGTATTTGGCATTTTGCACAGTAAAGTAGAGACTATCCAGAGGGAGATCAATTTGATGCAGTTGCCCCTCCTAAATATGTATTGCACTATATGCAAACCAAGAAACCCTGTTTTTACACAAGGGTGCATAGGAGTGTGCAGAAAGTTCACTGAGGATCCTCTGGGTATCTTTTGAGAAAAGCCAGATTGTTCAGGTGTCTCCAGTGAAGGTTCTGGTAATACTCCATCATACAAAGATATTGTAGACAATTGTGCTTTTCCAGCCTTGTGGTCAGTTTGGTGAAGGCCTTTTTCTGTTCCACTATGACTGTCCCCTGTGTACAAAGCCAGTTCCATAAAGACGTGGGGTGACCATATGGGTGTGGGGGAACTTGAGTGTCCTACACAGAGTCCTGACCTCAACCCTACTGATCACCTTTGGGATGAATTGAAATGCTGAATGTGAGCCAGATCTTCTCACAGTCTAAACCATGCCCTCGATGAATGAGAACCTTCGACAGCTATACCATGACCTGGATGAATGAGACCCTTCTACAGCTATACCATGACCTGGATGAATGAGACCCTTCTACAGATATACCACGACCTGGATGAATGAGACCCTTCTACAGCTATACCATGACCTGGATGAATGAGACCCTTCTACAGATATACCATGACCTGGATGAATGAGACCCTTCTACAGATATACCATGACCTGGATGAATGAGACCCTTCCACAGATATACCATGACCTGGATGAATGAGACCCTTCTACAGCTATACCATGACTTGGATGAATGAGACCCTTCTACAGATGTAGCATGACCTGGATGAATGAGACCCTTCTACGGCTATACCATGACGGCTATACCATGACCTGGATGAATGAGAACCTTCCACAGCTATACCCTGAGCTGGATGAATGAGACCCTTCTATAGCTATACCATGACCTGGATGAAGGAGACCCTTCAACAGATGTACCATGACCTGGATGAATGAGACCCTTCTACAGATGTACCATGACCTGGATGAACCTTCCACAGCTATACCCTGAGCTGGATGAATGAGACCCTTCTATAGCTATACCATGACCTGGATGAAGGAGACCCTTCAACAGATGTACCATGACCTGGATGAATGAGACCCTTCTACAGATGTACCATGACCTGGATGAATGAGACCCTTCTACAGCTATACCATGACCTGGATGAAGGAGACCCTTCTACAGATGTACCATGACCTGGATGAAAGAGACCCTTCTACAGCTATACCATGACCTGGATGAATGAGACCCTTCTACAGATGTACCATGACTTGGCTGAATGAGACCCTTCTACAGATGTACCATCACCTGGATGAATGAGAACTTTCTACAGACATATCATGACCTGGATGAATGAGACCCTTCTACAGCTATACCATGACCTGGATGAATGAGACCCTTCTAAATCTGTCGATCAGTTGCTTGAGCACGCATGTCTTAAAAGGGATTCCGTGGATGCCCTACATCATATATTGCTCGGGAACATGAGGGCAGAGAAAGCCAATAGCTGTAGGTGGGCAACGGTGGTACGGGGCAGGAGGAGAGGGCACGGATGCTGCGGCAGCTTCAAAAGGCTTACATTGCGGAGATGCGAGATTGCAGGGAGCCGAGGGTAACAAAAAGACACATCAGATTCAAAATGATCTTTATTGGCACTGGAAGAATAGAACAAGGTCAGATCACAAATGACCACAAACTAAAACGTCACAAACATAGTTTAAACAGGCAATCTGCACTTGCTTGGTTAGAAAGGAACTAAAAAAAACAAAAAAAGTGTCCCCTATGAGCGGTTATAAATCTCGTCAATATAATTTACAGCAATAGACTATAGTTTAGAAATATTAACACTTTTTAAACTTGGGGGGGGGAAAAAAAAAAATGTTAGCCATAAAAGATGGCGTTAATGAGTAAATATCGGTCAAATAAAAAAAACACCAGAAATAGGACTAATACTGATCGCTCCTCACGCGTTACTTTTATTTCAAAATAACTTTTTTTATAATACAGTATACGGTTTTTTATTTTATATTTGACTTCCTGAAGGCCTTTTTTTTTATCCTCTCTAATATTTCACTAAACTGTGCATAGCTAGAAGAAAAAAAACAAATACTTATATCATTAAATGTAAAGAAAATATATGTAATACTTGCTATCCAGCAGCAATGGAGATTTTGGGGGGGGTTTTTAGTTTTGCTTTTTTTATTATCTTCAGGAGGCAAAGCTCACATTAGTGGAGTTTTAAAGGACATGTTCATTTAAAAAAAGAAGAAAAAAAAACTCCAGTCCCTCCCACTTTCTTGGTCCCCTTACCTGTTCCAAGATCCTTCCATCCCCACCTTGCCTTCTTTTGATAACCTTTATAGCCTCGCTGCAGATATCTACTTGGAGCTGCCCGCATGGTAACTTCTCATAGACTTTGAGGGCAATGGTACGTGAATGGCCCAAGGCCCAATGACGTGAATGGCCCAAGGCCCAATGACGTGAATGGCCCAAGGTCCAATGACGTCAATGGCCCAAGGTCCAATGACGTGAACGGCCCAATGACGTGAGAGGTCCAGGCCCAATGACGTGAGAGGTTCAAGGGCAATGACGTGAATGGACCAAGCCAATGACGGGCAACGGCAGTATGGAGTCCCATGCTGGAAACGGTACGCGAAAGATCCACTTTATGATGCGAGTGGTCCAAGTCATAATGTGGCCCATTCACGTACCGCTGTCCTTTATAGTCTATGAGAAGTTACCATGCAGGCAGCTCAAAGCATGATATCTGCAGTGAGGCAGTAAACGCCGTGGGAGGCCATCAAAAAGGAGGCAAGATGGGGCTGGAAGGATCTTAGAACAGGTAAGGGGGTTACGGAGGGGGAAGGGGCTGGGGAGATTTTTATTTTAAATGGGCCATGACGTGAATGGGCCAAGTCTGCCCAGTCAGCAACACCGTCAGAGAAAGAATTAGTAGACATCTAGGTAGGGGTTTACCTAGGCTGGGCACTAGGTCTGAGGACTGCACCATGGGAGATGGTCCAATGATTTCCCATATCTGGAAGCATTGGGGATTTTGCTGTGGCAGCCGCAGAGGTGAGTAGTAGTGGGTTGGCAGGCGGGGGGTCTGGTTTGTGCCAGAATGGGCAAGGTGACAGTATATCTTTAAGGGCTCATTCACACCCCAATGCACATTGCAGTAACACACCATATATATTTGTTGTGGTGCATTGCCATCCCTTGCCAATGTGCCTTGCCAATTCTGCAGTGCCTGTAACACACAGATGCATAGTGCTCTGTTCAATGTGAAGTGCTCCTTTTAATAATAAAAAATTTGGCAGGACCTTTTTTTTTGTGCCTTGCCATTTGAAATGAATGGGCTGCCTAATCCGACACCCTTACAAAATTGAAGGGGAGTTACAACCCTTTTTAATCAAGTGCAAGGACCTTATTCTTTGGCTGCGTTGACCGCCAATGGTCAGGACGTAAAACGTAATGTGCCTCACCTATCAAAAGTGCATGCCTTGAAGTGCAATGCGCTACAATGTGAATGGCCCCTAAGAGCAACCCATGTATAAAGCATGAGAGCACCACAAGTGTATATTAAGTCCAGTAAGAGTTTAGTGTATACGGCCAACACTTTTCGGGAGGGCTCACGTCTTCTCTTTGATTGGGGCTTGAGTGGTGGCCATTAGAATGATTGGTCAATTAGAAGGATTGTAGATCGCTAGTCTGCCTTTTCCAGCACTCAAGACCTGATGAAGGTGGAGTTGTGAGAACCTCAAAGCGTCTTGACCTGTTAAGATGAACTTTTTACTGGACTTGCGGCACCCTCATCCTTCATACACTGCTTTGACCTCTACAGGGACCCCCCCAGTTGATCGCAAGCTGCCCTGGTTGACAGAGAGCCCCGGTTGATGGCAAGTTGCCCTGGTTGACAGAGCCCCGGTTGTTGTCGAGCCCCAGTTGATGGCAAGTTGCCCTGGTTGACAATGAGCTACCCTAGTTGATAGATGGCGAACTGCCCTGGTTGACAGAGAGCCCCAGTTGATGGCAAGCTGCCCTAGTTGACAGAGAGCCCCGGTTGATGGTGAGCTGCCCTGGTTGACAGAGCCCCGGTTGATGGCAAGCTGCCCCGGTTGACAGAGCCCCAGTTGATGGCGAGCCCCAGTTGACGGCAAGTTGCCCTGGTTGATAGTGAGCTACCCTAGTTGATAGTGAGCCCCGGTTGATGGCGAGCTGCCCTGGCTGACAGAGAGCCCCAGTTGACATTGAGCTGCCATTAGGAACCAGCCATTGAGCTAATTTTCACTCGTTATTGGGTCCAGTGCTCCCCCACCAAGCCTTTGTACCCAAAAGCAAAATCAGGAAGACAAAAGAGTGTTCTATCCCTCAGATATGGCACGATAGAGCACGCAATACCCTGCCTTAGGCACAACCGGTCATCTGATATGTAAGGCCTGCTTTTTCGCCACATATAAACCCGTCAGTAGCTGCTTCTAGTCATTTCTCGATAGAACTTTTACAAATAGTAGAAAACCTATATATAGCGGATTACAAAGCCTGTATAATATTGCTCTTCTATCCTCTACAAATATAACAAAACCCGTTCCAAGTATTCCCATATACAAACGATGGTAGAAAACCAATGGAATGCATGACAAACATGGCGTCGTCTCTCTGGAGACGATACAGTTCCATTAATCCAGTGCAAGCAATAGACAAAAATCATTCCTTAAAAAAATGTGGCCTATACAGACATATAAAGGCATTCAAATCTCCATTGTTATAATGATAGAAAATAGGGGAGGGGGATAAGGCATTTCAAGGGGCCGTAGCATTGTAATCTTCAAAACTGCTGGAGAAACATAAAGCGGTTTTCTGTAGCTGCCGGTTTAATGTCCTCGGACCAGGAAACGGGACATGGATGGGACTGGTCGCTTTAAAAAGAACATTGGCCAGGCTACAGACCTAAAAATCGATTGTACTGCATCATACTCGGACTCATAGTGGTGCAGAAGTTCCAGCTGAGCCATGGAAAAGGAAGGAGGCGACATTGTAACAATGTACGGGGGCACGCTTTGTTACAGTGCTTCAAACTCGTCTATGCGCTGCTTGGTGTTGCCCTGGCGGATCTGGCGGAGCGTCTTGTACTTGTCCCTGCCGGCGCGCACGTTTTCGGCATGCAGTAAGTCGTTGGCGGTCTTCTTGGTGTCGTCTCTGGCGTTGGCTAGTTCGGAGCTCAAGAGCTAGGCGGAAAACCCAAAAACGGTCATTTGTACTCAATTGTTAAAAAAAACAGATCGGCGCTATAAATACCTTTATACAGAAAACCCACCAGCTGCTTAGAACAGTTACACCCCCCACTGGACCTTACCCTTTGCTGCCCCCTCCCACTGGATCTTACCCTTTGCTGCCCCCTCCCACTGGATCTTACCCTTTGCTGCCCCCTCCCACTGGACCTTAAACTGGGTTTTAACCTTGGGAGGCGGAGTCCTGACCATGTGATCGGGGTTACAGTGACCTGTGAGCGGTCTGACAGCTTGGTCAGTATGCTGGGATCATGCACATCCCCATGGATGCATATAGGCAGCACCCCAGCGTCAACACCCATCCGCCGCGCTGCAGCAAATATGCGTTACGCCAGCGGAAAGAGGTTAAAGGATAAGTGCACTTGAAAACAAAATGCACAGGGGAGAACAGGGCATGGCTGACAAAGCTGCTTGGGGTTTCAGGAGGTGGGCCTTATTCTGTGTGGTCAAAAAAAGGAGTTCCCTTTTTTTCTGAATTGCACGCCCCCCAGTGTTGTGACAGCTCCCGGTCAAAGATCAGGAACCTGTAAGAGAAGCTCACGATCATGTGATCACTATGATAGCCAATCACAGCGATCACACTATTGGGAAAGCCGGGAAAAGAATTTGGCGGTCAGATCGGCCGGGAGGTGGTGTACCTAGTCAACTATCCCATAAATTCTGGAGAATTACCTGCAGGTGTTTCTGGACCCTTTCGTTTTTCTCGGCCTCCGTGGTACGATCCTCCTCGCTCCTGTCCTTGATCATGGCTTCCGCCTTCAGGTCCGCGCTGGCCTCCGCTCCGTTCTCGTCCTGGTCGTCGTCCTGTTCGTTCTCAGCGTGTACCGGCTCCTGGACGTGAGTAGTGGTCATCACCATTTTGAGCTCTTCTTTGGTCTTCTCCAGGTCAAGCTGCACGTTCTGGGCCTGCGCAGGAGCAAAACAAATGTTCAATATTAAGGACGGGCACCGATACATTTCATATAAAGGATATATTCATGATTACGGCCTGCCGCGGGCAACGCCTCGTCTTTCCTTTCTTTCCGGCGCCAGTGAAACGCCACACAACAGGGTCACAAAGGGGCATTAACCAGCTGCCCTGGAGCCTCACAGGAGAATGCTGCGCGATGACATCAACCATGGCTCTTGAAAGCTTTAGAAGTTCTGGGAGGAGTTATGTAAATATTAAAATGCCTTGATGTGTGGGTGTCAGTCTAGAAGGGTGGATGTTCCTAGGCAGGATGTATTTGCATACAGACTGTCCTGTGCAACGCCCACATGCGAGGCTGAGCCTCCATGATTGATAGAACTGAAATCGAATGAGTGAAAGGGATGGGGGCCAGGAAATGAGGCGGGCTCTTTGACTTGCTGCTGCTTCTAATGCACATTGTGAGAAGCTTCCAGTGTGCAGTGATAGAGGAAGCAATTTCAGTCCAAGAGAGGAACCGGTACAACTGTGCAAGACTGAAGGAAAGGCCGGAGGTCAGATTTGGGCATAAAGGTGAATTTACAATACTAGAGGACCTCTGCCACCCTTACCTTCTGTTGCCATTCATCGGCTTCATACTCTTTCTTCTGTCTGGCCAGTTCCAGCTGAGAGATGGTGCTCGTCAGCTCAGACAGTTCCATGGCCTGGAAAGCAAAGTCAACAATCAGTATTTAAACATGGAGAGCAGTAATGCAGAACTTTACGCCACCAGGACTGGGTCCTGTCCTTAGCGATGACAACAAGCATCATTGGCTTGGAGTTGGGCTTCAGTTCCTATTCACACTTATGGGTGTCCCCTTCCTACCCCAGGCCCCAAAGCAGCCGCATGGGCTGTTATGGCTATTGTTACGCCATTGGTTGCCATATGGGCTTTATCATGCACTGAAAAAACGTGAATAGGATCTCACAGCCCAACATTGTTCTTGGGGTAGAAACCAGACTTACCAGCTGCTCTTGATTCTTCTGCTGGTTTTGGGACTGTTTCAGAAGGGCATCTTTGGCTTCCTCGGCTGCCTGCCGTTCTCTTGCGAGTCTTTCAGCCTCCTCCTGTGCTCTTTTCCTTTCCTCCTCTAACTCCAGGGCTTTTCGGGTCTGCTCCTCCAACTCTGTGCAATGGGAAACGATAATTTTTCAAATCTGTAGCGTTTGATTAAATAATCCCTGGTGATCCTGCCCTGAAGGTCCATGTTCAAGCACTTCCTGGTATAGGGGGACAGTGTTCTGCCCATGTCTCCGAATTGTGCTCCTATAAAAAGGGGCTTGGACTCCCTGTGTGGCAGCACTGAGTGTCCAAGTGCTGTTACATGGTGAGTCACATGCTCCTCCATATGGAGTGTTGAGTATTTCCTTTGGCTACTAACACTAAACATAGTGAGTTTTGCTTCGCTCTGCACGGCTTCGCATGCAGTGTGTCACGGACTTAAGTGTTACATAAATGCAGCAAAGAAAAATCTGGTGTCCTGCCATGCCAGACAAAGCTGAGCTGTGTGACAGAGCTATGTAAATCTCAAAACTTGACAGAAATAAAAATCATTTGGCAGCTTTTATATGTATGTCGTCGATGTATCTAGCCATGTGCCCGGAGTTCAGCTGCAGATGTATCCTATATATGCGACGACCTTATTTATAATATACGGAGCACGGGGCAATATTCTGCAATTTTCTATAGAAACACAATACCATCCAAAGAGATACAAGCAGATACCTTCCTGGGCTTTCCTGGTCTGCTCCTCGATCTGTCGTAGCCTCTCCATCAGCTCCTCCTTCTCATGCTCAATCTTCTCCTTCTCTTTCTCAGCGAGTTCTCTCTTCTTCTTCTCATTTTCCAGCAGAGCTCTGGGGAATCAAGGTGGAACAATAAGAAGGACAAACAACGACCCCAGAACAGAAGAAATAACCTCACCCGGCTCCACGGATGGTGAGACATGGGTGGACATGCAGAGGACACGAAGGACTTAAAGGGATCAAAGTTTTATTAAAGGTTTTCTATCATTTCTATTCTATAAGAAGCGTCCGTCCATCTTATTCTTCATCACTGGGTTCCAAAGACCCGGGAACACCTTCGACACCTTCATTTTCCTTATTATGACAACGAGGTGACCAGGTTCCGCCTCAGTATCTCCTTGTTGGGCCATCCTGCAGTATCAGCGTGGTGCAGGACGTTGTATAGACATATGCTGCCCTATACACTAGCCACACCTCCCATCCCGCCCCGAGCTGGGGATGGACAGAAGCTCCCACAGCAAAGAGCATCAATTATGGGTTCCAACCATGGCCCTTGGAGCAAGGTGGAGAAGAACAGACACTGCAGTCATGTAACTGCTCGTAAAATCGAGGAAAATGGGTAATTTATTGGTATTTCTGGATGGCTTTCTACTAAACTGCACGCTAAGCCAATGGTTTAGCACCGCCATGATGTGTGGGACATATATAGAAGATGGGGTGGGAGGAGCCAAGGAAGGCCAACCACAAGTAGAGTACACATAAAGAGAACACCTCTAGGACGTGATTTAGTAACTTCCTGTTACCTCTCCATCTGTTTCTGGTGCTTCTCTTCCCTGGCCTGAGCCTTCATCTGCTGCACTTCAATGGTGTCCGGCTTCCTGCGGCGCATGTACAGCTCATGGTTGCCCATGCACAGCGCCAGGATTCTCTTGTTGATGCGTAATCGGGGAGCGTAGAACACAAAGTCCTGAAACAAAAGCATATAAAAAAAAAACTTACCATTGTCGCAATAAACTGAACTGAAGTCTCAGTATTCACACCCCGCGATCCAGATTTCACAGTCAACTATTGGGCCCAACCGCCCATCACATGGACATGGCCAACCATTTGGAAAATAAATTCCCCAGGTTAAGTGTTGGAAGGATGTAGAAAGGATGAGAGCGCCACAAGTCCAATAGGTCACTGCATGTGGCCAAAGTTTAGGAGAAAGCCGACGCGTTTCGGGGCTCAAAACTCCCATTCACCAGGGCAGTAACTGAAGGGGATACCAGTCCAGTATTCTCGTCCATTTCTGTTTTTAAGCCCCGATGGAAGTTTTGAGCCCCAGAAACCTGCCGACTTTCTCTTCTAACCGCATGTGGATAAAAGGTCAACTGCCATTTTTTCTACCTGCCAGTAACACTTCGTGTCCTAGCGTGGCAACGCTCATTTACTACACTGTATCTATGGAGTTGCAGCGTTGTCACCCTATGCTGCTCTCCTGATTTGAGCAAACAGTAGGCGTGTCACCCAAACTACTCACCGGTGCCTTCTTGTCAATGGGTTTGATCACAAATTTCTTGTCGTTGAATGAAATGTTTCTTATTTCGCTCCATGGGAATCCAATCTTGGGCGTCAATCTGGAAAAGGAAAAAGATTGTTAAAAGTATCCAAAAAAAATGTGTTCCTATGTAATCCCTTATTAGCCCCACTAGGGCTCATATACACCAACCGTATGGTAAGATGGGGCAGTTCACAGCGTGTCCACTAGGTGGCAGCAGTGAGCCGCGGCGCCTCGTGTTATTACAATGCTAGACGCTCTGCAATTTTTTTTCTTTTCTTTTTTCTTAAAGGAGAACTATGGGGTCAGGGCTTTTCCCCATAGTTCTCCTTAGGGTAATGGGAGGACACAAACTAGCGTCCTCCCGTCACCCTAGGCTCAGTATAGTAGCTCGTGGTATACTGAGACGCAGCAGCTGAAGCGGATCCCGACAATTATGTCTGGATCCGCCCAGCTGCGTGACTGACAGCTGGCTCTGCCTATCTAGAGGCAGAGCCAGCTGTACCCCTCCCCCGTCCGTTCCGCCAGTCAGCGCTGGCAGATCGGAGCGGGGAGGGGGGAATCCAGCCCCTCCCCTGTCACGGCAGAGAGCCGTGACAGGATCGAGAGGTGAGCGAACGCCGGTATGTGTTCGCTCACCTCCCGATCTACTGAGCCGACCTGTGACAGTCTC